TTTTTGTCATTGAATGGGAATGTAGCATGTCTTTAGCTCTTGTTGAAGAAAATTATTTGGAAGGTCATATAGAAGATACGGAAGTTGGTGTTTCTATGTGCAGCAGTTCAAAAGGCTATTTGGATGAGAAAATGCATTTGAAGGCTAACCTTGCAGAAAGCATACATGCTTTTCGCCAAAGCTTAAGTCCATCCTTTTGGAATAATCTTCACTCATGCACATCGAATAGATTGGCAAATATTCTAGCTCAGTGTGTCAGGTATGCTGTATTTCAGACGAGAGACTTGCATTTGGAAAGGACAGCAATCTTATGTTCTGAGTGGGTGGTGGACATGTTGAAGCTCATCTGTCTTGATCACAGAAACTTGCAAAGTTTTTTTGATCTTTTATTATCTGAGGGAGAATATTGGCCGCTCTGGTTGATGCCATCTTTACAAAATGGGCATGCATCTGTGAAGGTCCAGCTGGATCCAGATATTACAGATGAAATTGTAAGAGATCTTTTCTCTGTCAGCCCTCCCCCATAGGTTCATGCTTCAACTTAGCACAACAAATATTTGGTTAAACCTTTTTATGGAGACACTGGGTCTTATCTTATGACATTTCTATGTAGTTCTTAGCTAAAGATGTTGCTTATCTGTCATAAATAGTATTTACCCTAAAAAATACTTGATTTGTGCTGTTCCATCAACTGTCTAAATTTTGTGTTTGGGAGTTGTGAAATGACACTTTATTTGCAAGAGTTGTTAGTCACTATAGTAGATCTGGTGAACTAAATGAATAATTCCTCTGTTGCAGGAACTGAAACACGAACGATTTGTTGCCTTTGTTGATAGGCTTATTCTCAAACTTGGCTTTAGTGAAGTGGTTTTAGGTATTCCAGGAAATATACAGTCTGCCACATCACAATCAATTGATATCACTTCACCCATCTCTTCCTTGTCCAGAGCATGGGTGGCTGGTGAGGTCCTTTGCACTTGGACATGGAAAGGAGGCTGTGCACTGAAAACATTCTTACCTTTGCTGGTTCAGTACATGAAAGACGAATCATATCTTGAGATCAGCATTGTGCCCTTGTTGCTTGATGCACTGTTACGTGGAGCCCTTATGCATGAGAGTGGTCCATGGGTACTGTTCAATGCTTGGCATCTTTCTGACAACGAGATTGATAAAATTCAAGATCGTTTTCTCCGTGCTCTTGTGGCTTTGTTATTTACTATTAATACAAATGATTGTCTCTGGAGAGAATCTGAGGCACTTGTATTTTTTGAGCAACTATTGAGCAATCTTTTCATTGGCTCATCAGTTAATAGAAAATGCCTGAAGATTCTACCCTATGTTATGACCTCCATCATAAAACAGTTCTCAGCCTTGAACAGAGGTTCTTCGTATGCTGATTTGGTGGGGAAAAGCATACAGAGTTGGCTTGATGCAGCCATCTCTTGTCTGTCATCCAGCCCAAGGGAGATACCTGTACAAGGTAGGTTGCATTAGAATTCTTATATTTGATAATGCAGGTGCAATATTGCCTTTACAATCATGTAATACGGTCTCTTACTTTGTCAGATATTGAGGACTGGATGCAAGTGGTGTTGTCTTGCTTTCCATTGAGGATAACTGGAGGAGCCCAGAAATTGGTAGTTGTGGTTGAGCGAGAGATCAGTGATACAGAAAGATCACTAATGTTGACTCTGTTTCAGGAATACCAGATTTTCTATGGTAGTACAGCTTCATCATTGTTCACTAGTGAAACTCCAGTATCAACGACAGTTGAATTACTGGGAGTGAAACTGACAGCTGTTGTGGTTGGGTATTGCTGGAGAAACCTTCAGGAGAATGATTGGCATTTTGTGTTCTGCATGGTATTCAAGTGTATTGAATCATCTGTTTTGCTTGTGGAAGAAATGACTGATGGCATAAATGATGCCACAATAAACCAGGTATCAAGTAAAGATGCCTTGGAGAAGCTTAAGTTAGTGGTTGGCACTACAGATAAGTTAACATTAAGCCTTGCAGAATCTGCTTTGGTTACAATGTGTCACCTCAACCATCTTTGTAATATCCAAGAAGCAGAAAATTCCCAGAGTGTACAGCTTATTATATCAGGGGACTATGCTGAGAGTAATGACAAGATGGTAGAGAGTATCCTCCGTTTGTTCTTGGCCTCTGGTGTTTCAGAGGCAATCGCAAAATCTTGCAGTGAAGAGGCTTCATCTGTCATAGGTTCTAGTCGCCATGCTTATTTGCACTTTTGGGAACTTGTGGCGTCATTCATAAAAAATGCTCCACTGCAAATTAGAAAGTCTGCACTGGAGTCCATGGATCTGTGGGGACTGACCAAGGGTTCCGTCAGTGGATTATATTCGATTCTTTTCTGCTCACAACCAATATTTCACTTACAGCTTGCAGCTTTCTCTCTACTTCTGTCTGAGCCCTTCTGTCAACTTTCACTGGTTAAAAATTGTTCAATGGGAGAAAATTGCTCATCTGTTCAGCAATCTGGCATAAGCCAAAGTGCTGAGTTGATGCCAGATTCAGAGAAGACAGTGCATCTAAGAGATGAACTTTCAGACTTAATCGAGTTCCCGACGTCTGAACTTCTCAAAACTGATCTGACAGCTCGAGATAGGGTATACTGTATTTGCTGTATTTAGTGATTTTAAATTCAAAAGCAAATTTTCTTAGCTCGTGTGCTAATGGTCTGTTGGTGGTTTCTTTCACTAGGTTGATGTATTCATTGCCTGGGCATTGTTGCTGTCCCACCTGCAGATACTACCAGCGTCTTCCAGTATCAGGGGAGATGTGCTTCAATATATACAAGAAAAGGTCAGTCCGTGCATATTGGATTGCATTTTCCAGCATATCCCAGTAAAGGCTGCTGCACCGAGTGGGAAGAAAAAGGATACTGAGCTAGCGCCTGAAGCAGAAGCTGCTGCCAAAGCTTCGAAGAATGCCATAGCTACTTGTTCTTTGCTTCCGTACTTGGAATCTCTTTGGCCCATTGGGACTTTGCAAATGGCCTCACTTGCGGGCTCATTGTACGGGATGATGATTAGGCTGCTGCCTTCTTTTGTGCGTACATGGTTTACTACCTTGAGAGACCGTTCATTGTCATACTCAATCGAGTCCTTCACCAAACAATGGTGCAGCCCTCCTCTTCTGCTAGACGAATTTTCTCAGGTAAGATGATCCTTCTTTTGCAAGATATTGGCTCTGCATATTCAAATTTGTTGCACAGCTCTGATCTTTCTAAGGTTTGTTATTTGACCCTTAAAAACTGTTATACAAATAACCAATTGGGCACAAGTATTTCTTTTGTTTTTAGTTTTATTTTTCTATATTTTGTTGACCTCATGTGGTAGTGTCCGAGTGGCTTCATTCTGTACATCTCCTGAAATCATATAGGTCCATCAGTCCATGTCATTCTCAGGAGCTTTATAATTGTCCGTTGCACTAATCTTACCCTGTTGCAGGTTAAGGACTATGTGTACGGCGATGAGAATTTCTCAGTTAGCGTCAACAGGTCAGCTTTTGAAATTGTTGCTACATACAAAAAGGAGGAGACGGGAATTGACCTTGTCATACGCCTCCCGAATTGTTACCCCCTGCGCCACGTCGATGTTGAATGCACAAGAAGTTTGGGTATCAGTGAAGTGAAGTGCAGAAAATGGTTGCTTTCCCTCACATCATTCGTCCGCAACCAGGTAATTACTCAGAACACAAATAAGAGGACTACTGATGGCTTTGTGACGTTAAGAATGTAGCTCTATTTAACTAAGCTAATTATTTCTCTCTGCAGAACGGCGCAATAGCAGAGGCGATCCGCACGTGGAAGAGCAATTTCGACAAGGAGTTTGAGGGCGTGGAGGAGTGCCCAATCTGTTACAGCATTCTCCACACCAGCAACCACAGCCTCCCGCGGCTGGCGTGCAAGACGTGCAAGCACAAGTTCCATGGCGCCTGCCTCTACAAGTGGTTCTCGACGTCCAACAAATCGACTTGCCCGCTGTGCCAGACTCCGTTCTAGTTCTAGTTCTAGCTCTAGACACATGCGTGTTTGTTGGCACACCGTTCAATACTTCATGTAAATGGCGTGCGTGCGCAGTGTTCAGCTTTTACAAAGGCTCGGGCCTTTTCTCACTAGGCTCATCCGTTTTGTCTGTTAAATACTCTCGGGACAGGACGAGACCTGCATGGACGAGTTCTCCTTATAGGAATCAAGTAGATTGATCATGAAAAACTGGGTACGAAATTTGGGGTAGCTCCCAACTTAGAGATTTGCAGCGCCCTAGCTACTGTAACATAGCAATGCTTGATGAGGAATTTTGAGGTTAAAGCAAGTGGCAAAACTCGTGTGCAACTAGTGATCCTAAATGAATAAACTCACTATTTATTCCAATTTTCTGGAGCCACACTGGCAGATGGCACAGCTTAGAAATGAGTATGTGGCGAGTGGCCATAAACCCCGCAACGAAGCATGGCTGTCCATTCCAAACTAACGTTTTGGCTTGACACGAAGCTTTTGCTATGTATTTAAATATACACTACGTCTAAATATATAGTAGTAGTAGTCTAGATAGATATATAGTAGAAGTAACGTTGCTATGCATTTAAATATACACTACGTCTAGATATATAATAGTAGTAGTCTAGATATATAGTAGAAGTAACGTGTCTAAAAACCAAAACGTCTTATAATTTAGAATGGAGAGAGCAATTCTTATTCAACAAACTGATAAGTCCTCAATGCAGCAATTTCTGAGCCACCCGTAGTCCCATACCCACCCTCAGGCCACAACCATAAAGCATCTGTTCAACCAACAAGTACCTTCTCCATTCCAGAGTAACTTTATGACTCGCAACACATGCTAAATCCAGAACTGAAACTCATCTAAAAAAACTCTGCGAACATAACCATCTTTGTACAGCAGGCATAGTATTACATAATAATACTTAAAAAGGCTTATAAAGCTTGTTCTGAGATGTGGAGTGAACTGCCACTACGCGATGAGGAAAGGGAGCACGGTCAGCATGAAGGCCTCGTAGGTAAAAGTTGCCGACCCAGAGTACGCAGTGTCCTTCTCCTTGAACTTCTCAGTCAGTCCCTGCAAAGTAATCCAAATAAATGACCACAGGTAAGATCATAACTGTATTTCCACGATCAGATGCAAAGAGAAGTTTGAAGTGTTCGCGTTTGCACACTACAGTACAGGCATTAGTTACCTTAACAGTGAGGCAGCATCTGCAGAGGTAAAGGAAGAAAAAGAAAACACAGTTAGTATTTGTGGTACATGACAAACTGAATGCAGATTGCAAGTTAGTATTTGTGGTACATGACAAACTGAATGCAGATTGCAGATAGGACATTTAAAAAAAAAATCAGTTTTAGACATCGCAATAGTCTTGCATCAGAAGACACAACTGAACTTAGCAGGACAGTTCATTAACGAATCAGTCTAGTTAAATCTTTAACTAGTTATAAGACGAGTTTACTACTCATAGCCTATGAGGCTGATATCAACCAGTTATGAACATCCATGACAACACTGTGAAATACAATAATTTCCTTACTGATAAGGTTCAGCAAACATTGTTAAGAAATGAGCAGCAGTTAGATTGAAGGAAGGTCCTTACTCAATGAAGTTATCATATTCAATTGCTTTGCTCTTGCCCCCAGTCTTATCAAATTTAGACACAAGCAGATCGAGGACGGTTGGAGAGACAGAATATCCCAGATTGAGAAGAGCATCACGCAGTTCTGATGTGTCAATCCTACCACTTCGATCACGATCAAACCTCTCAAATATTGCCTGAAAAATACAGCAAAACATCGCTTCACTACAATAATTCATTGGTTAATTTTGCTTCACTACAGTAAAGGGAAAAAAGGAACATTAAGTTGTAGGTCATCTTACTCTCCAGTTCTGAAGACTGTAAAACACAGAAGTAAATTCCTTGGGTCCTGAAAGGGCAGAAACAAACATTAGCATATTTTTATTACAAGAAATCTAGACTGTACAGGAGACAGAAGGGAAATGCTGAATCTGATATAGGTGGTCTTCATACTAGTCGGAAAAAGGGAGAGAAAAAGAAACACAAGTTAGCACTGATCTTTTAAGGTCACACGAATGAAGAAACACATGCCTCATGGCTTGAATAAAATGGTATATGAAAATCTTGCATAAATTGTTTTAAATATGAAGATCAGTAAGGGCTTTCAAGTTACACAGAATCTGTACCAAACTGGATCTAAACTCCAGAAAACAGGATTGCCCAAAAGGCATCACGACCATTACCAAACTATGTGCTAGTGTCACATCAAAAAGCTGGAGAGTGGCATAGCCTACTAGCAATACTTCATTGTTCAAACACTAGTTCCATACAGGAAAAAAAAGGGCAGACCCAGTGCCGGAGGCTCCCACATGAGTGGGGTCTGGGGAAGGGAAAAACCGAGGCAAGCTTTCCCCTCGCAAATCTGCGGAGAGGCTGCTTCGAACCCACGACCTGGTGACTCAGTGAGACAGCTCTCACCACTGCATCAGGCCTGCCCTTCTACTAGTTCCATACAGGAACTTCATGGAAAAAATAACCCTATAACTACCTAAGTCATCTACAGCCTAGTCCTCTAAATGATCATTTTGGATTCTGCACATAAAGAAATGGATCTACTAGACCAATTCAATATTGGCCACTCAATCAAAGTCCAAAACGCAAGTAAACTATCTGCTTCTTTAAGAAAGGATCAAATTGCTAGTTTGCCACTACAGACCAAAGAACAGACCACTCGGTGTGCCTGAGACAGCTGGTAACTGGTGAGTAATTTCTAAATGAACGCATCTAGAGCTGACTGGTACAATCCATTAGGCCTCTTCCATTTCCTGATCGCCAAACTATGTGCCAGGCTGCCACGTTACAGCAAATGGCTAGAGAGCAACATGGCTGCCAACAGGACTTCATGTTCCTTGCAGTATCTACAGCACATGGTCAGTACTGGAACTTAATCTTATATAAGCACATAAGTTGTCTACAGTCTACTCTTCTGCATAATCATCTTGGATTCTGCGCTGCACATAAAGAAATGGGTCTACTTGATCAAATCAATACTGTATTTGCCACTAAATCCATGTCCAACTCGAACTTGCTAAAGAAAGTAAGCTCTGGGCTTGTTAAAGAAAGGATCAAATTGGCGCTACGGACCACAGAGCACACAAATCCGTGTGCCTGTCACAGGCTGGTAGTAGTAGTAGTATTGTAAACCCACGTAGGAGCTGCGCTGGTAATGTCAATGAGGCTGTAAACCCACGTAGGAGCTGCGCTGGTAATGCCAATGAGGCCTCGGTAGGCGTACCCTTTTCCCATTTCCCAAAGTCAAAACATCTTGTGCAGGTGAAGGCGGCTAGTCAGAGTGCTTGGCAAACCCGGAGGATTACACGTGCCGAGCAGAGTTGCGTGCACGACGCAGACCGGACACCGCTGACCACCGCTGATGAGGACGACGAGCAGGGCACCCGCCCGCCCTAACAAGCTAACTAACGCCCTACCACGAATCGACCCGTGCCGCGCACTAGAACGAACAACGGCAGGAGCAGAGGGGGCTGAAGTCTGAAGAGGTTGAGATAGCGCGAGGTCGTCTGACTGACTCACCGATCTTGCGGACGTTGGTGTTGGTGAAGAGGTACATGAGGAGGTGGACGGTGCGGAGGCTGAAGCTCTGGTTGTACCCCGACAGCGCGGACTGCAGCTCCTTGTCGTCGATTATGCCGCTGCCGTCGCGGTCGGCGGCCTGGAAGCAGGCCACCACGTTGGGGTCGGTCCCCGGCGGGAACGCCGAGGGCACCAGCGACGCGAACGGGCTGCCGCCGTACCCTGCAGGTCCTCCTCCCCCGTACGGCGGGGGTGGGGCGCCGTAGGGCGGTGCGCCGCCGTACTGCTGGGGTGGCGCCGTAGCCGCCCCCACCGCCGTAGGGGGGCTGGGAGGGGGGCGGCGCGCCGTAGTAGGGGGGCGCGGAGCCGGAGGAGGTCTTGCCTTCCTTGGGGGGCTTCGTCTCGCCGTAGGGCGGGCCGCCGCCGTACTGCTGGGGTGGTGCGCCGTAGCCGCCCCCACCGCCGTAGGGGGGCTGGGAGGGGGGCGGCGCGCCGTAGTAGGGGGGCGCGGAGCCGGAGGAGGAGGAGGAGGTCTTGCCTTCCTTGGGGGGCTTCGTCTCGCCGTAGGGCGGCGCGGAGGACGCGGGCGAGGAGCCGTACGGCGGCGGGGCGCCGTATCCCCCGCCGGAGCCGTAGGGGTAGCCGGCCATGGGGGGCGTGGCCGCTTGGGGGCTCGGGGTCGGGGCGTGGAGGAGGGAGACGGCGAGATCGCGGTGGTGGCCTGGTCGGGGGAGGCTGTGTTGGGAATGGAAAATGGAATGGATTCCTCCTTTTCCTTGGTTTGGTTGGAGATGGAGTTGGAGGCTGGCTGCCTGGGTTTTATGACGTGGCGAACCGAAACGGCTTCGGGAGCGTGTCAAACTGGGTCCGCTTCTTCTGGCTCGAGTCAGAAGACGCGTTGCGAGGATGCCAAGGAAGGAGCGTGTCTTCGGCGCGGCGATAACGTTCCCGCGTTTTGTTCGTTCCGTGCATGCCATGTACATACATTGCTCGCGCGCACACGCCCCTGTATGCTTAGGTGGGACAAGGTCAGCAGGCCATGGCCCATGGCCCATGGCCCCACCGCCTCAATCTCTAAGCTTGATGAGCTCATGGCCAGCAGCCACAGCAAGAAACCGAGCCGGGCCGTACGTGACCGTGCCCAAAGCGCCAAATTCTATAGGGAAACAGATCTATTTGACCTCTTCAACTATTCGGGCAGTCCAATTTGCTCCCTCAGTTGTAAAACTAAATTTTTAGTGTTATCTAGCTTTTGAAAAGGTCTAATTTATCTTTTCAAATGGTTTTGGAAGCGAGTTTCATTGACGTACGTAGACGTACACACAAAGGGTAGTTCATGGAGAGTGGTTCATGTTTTGGGGAGGAAAAAACAATCAACAATAGCTCAATCGAACGGCCTCGTATTTCATGTTATTTTTTGAGCTTGTCATCCATCCGGTCTAGTCGATCTAGCTTTGCAACTCAAGCTAGGTTTCGCATTGATTATGAAAAATAAACATAATATATATATATATATATAGTATTTCTATATTGTACCCTGGGTACAGAATAATATTCAGGAGTCCATCCGGCGGCAGTGCACGGCGCGCCCATCCCTTCATAGTCCACGCCCGTCCCGACTCCCAAGTCCTGACCCGACAAGCCCCTAGGGCCGGTTTTCTTTTTTCTCGCATACCCACCGATCCATTCACCGCTCCTCATCCATTCCTTTTTTCCAAAAAAAAAATCTTTCCCTCCCCCATCCCCTCACTCTCTCAGCTCGTCGTCGCTACTGGCCGTGGTCGTGGTCTTAAAGGCCCCAGTTGAGGGTCGGCACCGACGATTGCTGCCGGGTTCGGCACCGGTGAGCTCGCCGCACCTGTGGCGGCCGTCCTACTCGCATCTTGCCATCATCAGCAGCCTTCCGTGCTTGCCCGTGACTCATCGTTAGCTCCCGCCGCGAACTCCCGGAGAAAGGAGTGGCAACTTCTCTGGCGATCTTGTCGCGCCGCCGTCGACCTACCGCCACCGCCGCCGCTCTGCGTGTGCTCCTCCAACACCGCCGGCAGATCCGGTGCCCTCCTCCAGATCCCCTTCTCCAGCTCCTCGTTTGCACCATCTCCTTCCCGTTCCCCTTCTTGATTCGATTTGATGATTCGAGTGCAGGATGCGTTCCCTACGAGTGTTCGATTGTCTCGGCCCAGGTCGCGGCCAGGAGCTCCTCTTCAATTGCAGCAAGGTGAGTTTGTCTCAGCTGCCAATGCTGGTTGTGTAACTTTTACCAATACCAATTGTGTTGTGTAACAGTGTATTCATTTGGAGACGCCTCTCGAGGGATGTCGCTGCGCAGCCCTGGCCTGCAACCCGGCCTCCTACACGTGAGGTAAGGCCAGCCTTCAGTCCTTGTTATTGTAATTGTGCATCGATTTGCTGACTGAGCGAGGAAGCTTGTCAATTCTAATCCATTCAGAGAGAGCTGGTGGTATCTCACCACTGTTTTGTTAGCTGAGGGAGACCAGTTCCAGTAACTAGATATTTATGTACTATTTTTTAAGGAATTGATTACTTTTATTTGTGAAGATGAGTACATGTTCAGATATGCAAAATATTATTATTCAGAGATGATCACCGTTGATACAAATTATTTATGGTTAGGAAATCAACACGTGATGCTAGAGTGCATAGCATTTAAGTTCACTAGTAGAGAACAGACATTTCATCCGAGGTCAAAATGGGTTCTAGTCCCGGCATTTTTTGCGCCCGGGACTAGAGAGACCTTTAGTCCCGGTTGGTGTCTCTAACCGGGACTAAAGGTCCCTGCCCAACGGCTACTGCGCTCGACACAGTTGCAGGGGACCTTTAGTCCCGGTTGGAGACACCAACCGGGACTAAAGGTGGACCTTTACTCCCGGTTGGAGCCACCAACCGGAACTAAAAGTCCCCCGATGTGTTAGTTCAAAAGGAAAGCATCCCATCCATTGTTAGATGTGTTGTGTAGGTGGGGTGGTAAGCTACGCGCGAGGCAGTGCATGAGGTCTTGAGTTCGAATCTCACGAGACGCAGTGGTGGGAGGCATTATTTTTTTAAAGCTGAGAGGATCTTTAGTCCCGGTTGTGGCAAACCGGGACTAAAGAATAACATCTTTAGTCCCGGATTGCTAGTCCCGGTTGGGAAACCGGGAGTAGAGCTGGTTCCCAACCGGGACTAGATCTCATTTCTCCACTAGTGGTTTTTGTGGTCACACATGACAGTATTAGTGGTCAGGCCACATTGGTAGCATATAATAGAGTTTTTTTTTCAGTTGAACACATAATCAGCATAATTTAAGTTGCGACTACACCGGCCACGATTTTTTGGCTTTCCTACCAAGTCCGCTAGCTCAATCTCCCCCTCCCACCCTGCTGCTCTCTCTTTTTGCCCCGAATCTGTTGGGATGGGAAACCTCTGGTTTGGGATGACCCAGCGTGTCGAAACTGGGGTTCACATAGGCAACATTGCGACTAGATTGGATTTATCAGAGAATGTCTTCCTCTGCGTAGGGGAAAATGTTCAAAATAAAAAAAAATTCCCCCATTGGTTTAGAATAACTAGTGGCAGTTGATTTTATGATTTACCAGTTGATTGTTACAGTTCTTTATCAAAATGCGCTAGTGCTATGTCGTGCTATGTCTTTTCAAAGCTGTGGAAATGCATTTTCACATAATATCATACAATAATTGATTTGTTGTTTAAACTTACAGGTTTATTAGCTCTTGGATAGTTTAATCTTAGTCAATTGGTGTATGTTGAATTAATGAATTATATGAAGGCGCTGCTAGCTTGCTATGGACGACTGCCTTTTAATAGCAGGTACCATCTTCATTCTTTAAGAGATTAAATTTGTCATATATTATCCATTTGTGTGGGATATCAATGAGAATGTGATGTGCGTATGTGATTTTTTTATAATATTAGTTATGTGTTCACGTTCTGCCCCAGCTAAATTTTGGTTGAGCTCCGCCCTGCTATGCATCCTCCTCAATGAAGATGACGGGGGCACGTTGCCTTGTTGTCGCCGGACGCAGTATGTGACAGCAGGTGCTGGGTGTTGGCAAAGCTTGGGGGCTATGCTGGCCCGCTCTACGTCAACCCGCCCACGCTAGCCGTGCCTGATAGTCATGGCAAGAACCCGAATGCAGCTCTTCCCTACAGGTAGTTTTCTTCTGCCTCTGTTTTCTTCCACTAAATTGCAGCCACCAATCAGTGATATTTTGTGTGACTAAAACTAACCGAGTTAATTCGCATCTTCCAATTCTGGCCCAGAGGCTGCTCTTGACCAAATTGGATTTACCTTTAATATTCACTTTAAAGATATTGTTGGCAATTTCAACTTAACTAGCTGCTTCACCTCGCGAATCAAACTGTATGCTCATAGGATTTCTGAGTTAAGCAAATTGATTATTCCAGTCCAAAAATTAGGTTCAGTAATTCTTTGCTCACTAAGCTGTTGCGTGGTGCTTCCCTCACCAGCAGCCTTGACCTAGCAAGATCCCGATGAGGCACGCACAATCCTTCTTATCTTTCTTTGGATTTGGATTAGGCTAATTTCAGGCTTATCTTGTAGATTGTGAATTCTTTGCACAGTCATTTCTCCAGCTGCTGGTGTTGTACTATACGGGGCATTCCCAGAGTTGAGCACGAAGTCCTTAATACCCTTATTATCCTAGTGGCTTGGGAAATATTGAAGCACCGAAATGCTTTTGTGTTTGATGGTGATTGGCCTAACATAGAGGTGCCGCTTCATTGGGTTGCCAATGAAGGTGCCCTGTGGTGCTTGGCAGGGGCATCCGTGTTGCATAGGCTTTTGGCTAGGTCGCTCGTCGTAGATCATTAATGAGTTGAGTCTTTTCTTTTTGGTCGGGGTTGTATGTACTAGGAGGGTTTAACCTCCCCTCCTTTATGTTCTTTTTCTTAATGAAATAACACACAACTCTCTTGCGTTGTTCGAGAAAAAAAATTGCTCAATTTGTTTGAAGAAAAGCTTTGAACTGAGATGATTTTTGTGGTTCAATTAAAATAGTAGGATGAATATGATTAACATTGGATTAGACATTGTGCCACCTTATAGTTGAAGTGGAATAACTTGATTTTGCATCTCTATAGAAAATATAGAATGCATCCATTGAAGTTTTAGTCTTAGAATATCCTTAACCTGTAGCTGAATTTTTTTGAAACAAAAATTATGTGCGTCTGTGAAGATTTCTTCATACTAGTCTTCTCTGCGCTCCACCAGCACATAAGGTTCTCTCTCCACTCTCTTTTGATTCTTCATGCTGTTGGTCCATTACCATAATAGGGGGTGACATTTTCTGAAAACAGTTAGGTTGAGCTGTATATGATTTACATGTCCCCTTGGGATTCACTTTAGGTTTTGTTTGTCCAATTGTCTATGTTGTGTTCATTTCTTGCTCTCCCTTTTCTTGAGTAGACAATTTATGATAATATAGAGATAGAGTTTTATCTAGTTAACAAGCTCCCTATTAGGATTGGATTTTAGATGCAAGCGAAGCTTTGTTGTGCTTGTTGTCGAATGGGGCTTCTAGATATTTATCTATTGTTCGATATATTTATATTAGTGTTCCACCTGTATGCAGCTTCATGCCTCCCCTGTATTGATGTGGCTCCCCTATTC